TTATAATTTTTATATCTGTCAGATTGTAAAGCAAACTTTTTGGCTTTGTGTTGCAGGCTATATTCTCAATATGTTGCTATTACAGAACTAGTGTTAGACAATCAGATTAAAAAGAACAGTCTAGAAAAAGCTAGATCATTTTAATAGCATAACTTACATCTAAAAGGACAACACATTTGGCCCGTTGTTTAGTTGGTAAAAACTCTGCATATAAAGTAACACTGAAATGAAATAAATTTAGCTGTATACACACAAAAGCTGATGAAGACATGTACAGTGACAAATTTGGGAAAATGTTTTGGCAATGTATGTTTTTAGCAATGGAAACTCATAGCCAGTCCATTTCTGCGCATCAACAAAGTTAAGAAAACCCATAACAACACATCACTAATTTTCATTATAATAGAAATAATATTTATACTTACGATTGTGGAACACATCCTATTGCAAATCCAACAAGTCCTCGTAAAAACAAAAGCCATAGAAAGTTAGGAGCTATAGCACTTAAAAGTCCATAGTAAAATAATAATACTCCACACATACTTAGCGCCTGAAACAATTTTTTTTTAACTTTAGTTATAAAAAAAGCAAAAATAATAAAGAAGTTGCTGAACAATTAGACATTATTAAAATAAATAATGAATTTCTACATTACTTCTTAATTTTACTTTTATTTTTTTTAGATTTAAATTAAAAAAAAAGGAAAATTTTTCATACTTCTAAATGAAGTATGAAATTTTTTTTAATGTTATGTGGATTGTAAAACTTTTAAATTTTAATAAAAGATCAAATTAATGAGAGCTTAACTTGTTTATAGATAAAATCTATTCAAAGACTAAAATAAGAACTGGGCAAAGATAAACTGAGGTTTTATAAGAATGTTTTTAACTAAATACCAAATAACAGTTGACATTGGAAAGTCTATACTATTATTATTGATCAAATGTTTTGTAGATATTTTTATGAACTAGTTAATGAAATAACCTCTGTTGTATCTGACAAACTAATGTCACCATTGGAAAAATAGATGTTTTAACTAAATAATAACAGTTCAGACAATATTATAATACTTACAGTTTTCCGTCCATATCTGTCACTAATGTTGCCCCAAAATGTAGAACTCAACATCATTCCCAGAAATACTACTGTTGTTGTTAGAGCTTGTTGATATCTGCAAAGAATATTGCCTCTGGTAAATCTTACTAATATTATTAGGAAAGTTTAGATGGATGGATGTTTATTAGAGTTTGTAGCTTAAATTGCTGAATGGATCTCTTTGAAATTTGGTATACATATAGATGATAGTCTGGAAGGACATAGGCTACTTACTTTTTTTAATGCCACACAGATGGAGTTACAGGCAAAAGCTAGTCTGATTAACAAAATCAACTGCACATAGAACAGAATGAAGTTGATCATTGATTACACAACCATTGTCATATATCTGATCATATAATGCTAAAATGCTTCTAATATTCATTTATTTAGGCCAAAAATGTCGAAACTTATTTTTATAGTGAGTAAAAGCAATTATTTCTTATTTTCATGCAATATAGACAGAGATTTATGTTTTTTTTTTTAACAGATTCTTATCTGAATTTAATAAAATTATTAATAGTTTACC